ATTTGAAGCAAAAACAGAATGGTTTGACTTCAGTTTTGTGAAACTATAAATAAAAATATCTGCATGAAACAGAGGAGCTGAATGAGATGCAGATTCACTCTCTGCCAGCAGGTGGCGCTTAAAGCGTTTCCTTGGTTTCCGCTGCAAAAACAAAGCAGCGCTGCACTTACTTTAATATGCATTATACAGAGGCAAGAGGAAAAGAAAAAATACCATCTAAACTTTTCTAAAGACAGTAAGTTCCCCTCAGACATGCATTCATATAAACTCCTACCTCTAAATGAATCGTGATTTGTTTAGCATCTCAACCGATTTGAATCGTCACATATTTGAATCGATTTTCAACCGGCTCGCTGTTAATCATTACATCCCTAGTCAGAAAGTTCCAGAATTTATCAGAACATTTACATTATTTTTCAAATTATAAGAAAACAATGATTTTGTGAGTTTTCTAGTCAAAATGACTCTTTTTGTGGCTGTAATTTCCAGAATTTTGCAGAAAATTTGATTATTTTTTTTTTGTCGCAATTGCAGATTTCTTGTCACTTTTTTATGATAAAATTGACTGATTTCGTGGTGATAAGTTACAGAATTGTACAGAAACTTTGCCTTGTTCTTCATAATTAGAATAATGCATTTTTGTGATATGCCATATTAACATTTTTACCATGTTACATATAACAATAGATATTCAATATTCATACATGACAGAAAAACAACAAAAGTAGTCATTTATTTGATAATGTTTTGTTTTACCAAATTCTGACACAATTATTAAACTAGATAGTTACTTTGTTATTTAGTATTTTTGTTTTGAGTGTTTTAGTATTCATGTAGACACACAGAAAATGAAATAATGGCATGTAAAGTAAGACCGCATACTCACAGCAGAGAATGGTGGTGTTATGATGTTGGTGATGTGTGTGAGCTCAGAATCTGTGTGTGTGTGTCTCAGGGCGGGAAGATCCCGATCCGCTGGACGGCTCCTGAAGCCATCGCCTTCCGTAAGTTCACCTCGGCGTCAGACGTCTGGAGTTACGGCATCGTCATGTGGGAGGTGATGTCGTTCGGAGAGAGACCGTACTGGGACATGAGCAACCAGGACGTGAGTGAGGTTTCAGAGCGCCATATACACACACACACACACACATAGAATTCTAAATATTCATAAAAACTATAGTATTTTAATATGAAAAACGAATTTAAAAATAAACAACTAAATTACTAAAACTTTAACGAAAGTAAAATGAAAATCAAATGTAAAAATAAAAACTAATGCAAAATATTAATTCAAGCTATATATACATTTTTAAAAAACTCAAAACTAATAACAATGACAAGAGCAACAAAATAATAAACTCTAACTAAAAGTATAATGAAAACAAAATATTAAAATAAAAATATATATATAAAAAAATGAAATATTAATAAAAATTGTATAGACGTATTTAAAAACAACTAACAAAAATGTGACGACACACTTAAATGACGAAAGAAACTCATGACTAAAACGTTTTACTACATTTTAAAGTGAACCTTAAAATATAAAAAGAAAATCTGATCCTAAATATGAACACAATGATTGTAGAGACTGTACTGATTTAATGATGGTCCTGTGGTTTGTCCAGGGATCTTCTGCGGATCGGCGTGACTCTAGCAGGACACCAGAAGAAGATTCTGTCCAGCGTCCAGACGCTGCGGGTCCACGGCGCCCTGCGATACTGACGCTTCCCAGCATTCCCTGCTTACAGATCAGACCGATCGACCAATCACTGAGGAGCACCACTGAACCAGCCAATCAGTGTCCCGTCTGTGTTTGTTCTCTTGGTTTCACTCGGACTGATGTTCTCAGGAGCGTCTCCTGAAGAGACATCACAGGAGGACGTGTTACTGTTGCCGTGGCGACGCCGATGCATTCTGGGAGCTTAATCGGGTCTTCACATTGAAGATTCATTATAATTATTATTATAAAGTGAGATTATTATTTTGTACGTATCAAAACAGCACAAATAATGAACGAATGTTTGTTTAGCAAATGGACTGTGGGAGCTGTCAATCAAATCGAGTGTAATCTGTGTGACCAATCACATTAAAGATCTGCACTGGCCCCTCCCACCACCTCCAGTGTGTGTGTTTGTATGTGTGTGTGTGTGTGTGTGTGTTTTAATGACCAATCAGCATCAACACAGCTACTTAAAGACGACTAACATTAAAAACACTGGATTACCTCACTGTTAAACATCAGCACTCAACACAACAACGATCTAAACTAAACAATGCTCAAATGTGTCTCATTTTTAGTGTTTTATTGTTGTTTAACTGTAGAGATGCAGTAAGTTTGTTTGTGTGTGTGTGTGTGTGTGTGTGTGTGAGAGTGTGTGTGAGAGAGAGTGTGTGTGTGTGTGTGTGTGTGTG